TTTTGGTTCAGCCCGACTCAAACTCAGACTCTATGCAACAAATCGAATTCCAGTAGGATGTTCACCACCGTAATGTTTCCCATCTGTTCTTTTTCACAAAGGCTTAAGCAATCCAAAGGAATGAAATAAGAGTTTCTCTAATAGTTTCTTTGCTGTTTTTTCAAAAAAGCTTCAAAATAAATATTCCCTTTTAAACTGAAGCCGCCTTGCTCAAAATGCGCAGCTACGCAAATTCTTGAAGGAGATCCTGAAGCAAGACAAGGAAGATCGATAATTGGAGGGAACGGTAATGTTAATGGGAGGAGTGTCGTGCAATTCATTCAAAATAAAATTTGCCTCCAAAGTTTAAATATGATCTTAAGAAGTTTTTTCTATCCTTTTTACTAATGGAATCTTTTTATTTTTTGAAAAAGCTTTGGCTGATTTATGTGCTCAAGCATTAATCTTATGGGCATTATGAAGTTCTTCAGATGCTAAGGGAATTAGGTAGAGTTTGAAAACCAACAAGAGGATGTTCTTAACAATTGGTGGATCGATCGATTCAAGATATCTAAAGGGGAATTAGGTTAGAAGATGTGGCCTCGTTTAATTGTAGTAAAAATTTTATTTTTTTTCTATTGATTTTTGTTATCCTAATCCTTGGTAGAAGCTTTTTCCTTGCAACTGCAAAGAGTTTTTGATTTGATTGTTTTATGAAAGGGTTAAGCTACTTTAAGGGTAGGTCAAAGAGGCAAGTGAGATTTTTGATAAGTTTTCTTTAAGAATCATTGTAAGGCTTTCCTAATGGAGAATCTAAATAATGAATTGCTTGTAGAAATTGAAGATGTTAATTAATGATTGTGTAAAAAGAAACACCTTGTATGTTAAAATAAATTGACCGCATTGATAAGTGTACAATTAACATCTAAATATTCAAAGCATTGTAAAGGTGTCAAGAAAGGGAGATGTGAACCACCAAAGCAAGAATTTGAAACAGACACTTCCTGCTCAATTTAAGTAGTGCACTTCTTACTAGGTGAAAGAATAATTCTTTTATTCGCTGATTATTGATAATTTTCTTCCGCCACTTATATCACTTGAATAAGAGAAAAAGAGGTGTTTGCAGGATTTCACAGGATAAGCAATAAGAGAGGAGCCTTTAAAGAGTGGCTGCAACCTCTTCCAGATTTGCAGGGATAAAATTCAAGTGTGTTGCAATGGCACAAATATCTTTGGGATAAGAAAGAATTGAATGTACAAGCCTACAATTAGAGCATAACAAAGGAAGATTAAATCCAAACACCTGAAGGAAAGTAAATCAAAGTTTGAAATCAATAAAACTTTTTGGATGCTGTTCATTATCGTAGCCAATTTTTCATCAGATAGTAGTTTGGGTACATACCCTATTCAAGTTGCACATCCCATAAGCCTATTCAAGGAGGTTAGACAGTTATTTTTAACTAGAATTAATGAATTAATTCCAACTAGAAACTGTCATAATGTATAGGCGCGTGTGTATTGAATTATCGAAAGTTTGAATAAAAGCAACAATGTAAAGATTCATTTTCCTTTAATCTTCTTAATTGATCAAATGCTTGAAAGAAACTTTTGCAAAAGTTATCCTTATCTATTTGATCTTTTTAAAACGAATGGTAACTTCTTCGGGTTAATTATTTTTTTATACAAATACCCATAGCTTTCCTCGAGATAGAGACTAATATAATATATTGCCCTTAATGGTAACTTTTGTCTTATAGGAAGAAATGGATCTTTTGGGTTTGTTGCAATGGCACTGCATACTTTTCACAGGGTGTATGAATGTCCCATAATTTTTCTTGATATGGGTTTGAAAAATTCATTAAAAAAGTATTATGGATAATTTATTCTGTGTTTTGGTTTTTTCTTCTTTTTGATATCTTTGTCCTCTAATACTTTCTCTAGTGAATGCAAATAGGCGTGAGGCCCTCAACCTTGGTTTTGAATTGGAAAAAAATGGTCATTTCAATGATTAGTTGAAGAAACGTAGTGTTTTTAGGGTAAAAATTCCGGAGAGGGAATTGAAGTGAGACAAGGCCAAAAATAGAGGGTAATTGAAAAGCTCCCACACCAAACATCAATAAAAGGGGTAAGGAGTTTTTTCTCTTTTAAGTCTGTAGGTTTCTCTCTAGAAGAATTTATTAAGGACTTCCTTCGAAGATCGCATAAAACCTCTTTATATAAATTTAATTGGATTAAAAATGTTTCTTTTGATTTAACCGAAGATGTTTTTGAATGCTTTTACAGGTTTAAAAGCAGGAAATTGATTTTCAGCTCTTATAAATTTTTGTTACACCAGCTTGGAGCCCTACCTTTTTGAACTCCATGGTTGTGATGCTAGTGATTGGGCTTGCCTATCAAGCTTATTTCTTGGGGCAAAAGAAAGAAAAGAATACGTTTGCATGTCAATTTATTAATGCTAGTCGTAACATTTAATGATATGCAATTAAATTATGCCTACTACTGAAAAGGAGGCCTCCTGTTATTGTTTTCTTTTGAATAAATTTTAGAGCATATTTTTTGATTTCAAGCTAACAATAGTTTTAACCATTGATCAATCCAGCATTAATATTTATTAAAAAAAGAAAAAAGAAAGGATGCAAATTCTTTGCAAAAAGCATCTTATTATTGAGCTAAGTGGAAGAACTTCCAAGATAATCTCCCTTTAATAAATTTAAAATACATGTTTTTAGTATAGTTTTAAATCTTGAATTATTATACATTTTTTTTTGCACTATTTTTGTTATATCTATATCCGTCTTCTTTTGTTCAACTAAATTACGCCTAAAAGCCCATTACACCCTAATAAAACACCTTTGTTGATCATTTTATAATTGTTGGTAGCAATTTAAATTAATGGAGAAGGGATGACTAATTTTGCCTATGGGACTGTTAAATTTAAATAATTCCCTATCATTCTATTAAGTTTAAAGGTTAATAATTTTTGTGAAAATTTCATATTCTATCCTTATCATAAAAGTTTTCGATCAATTATTTGGTGTTAAGATTCTTTATCAAACTTTAGGTTTTACACACTAAGGAATGTGTTTTGTTTAAACGCTTTGAATTTTTTGCCAAAGAATATAAGGAATTGCTGGTAATAGGAAAAACACTTGATTTTATTATTATCATGTTTAAAATAATTTTTGATATTTTTGAAATTGTTTTGAAACAAATTGTTTCTAACCATATTAAGCTAGCTTTGATAGTTTGGTTTTCAGTTTTTTTGTTTTTTGTTTTTGTTATTTAGTTTTATTTGCTTTGAGGACAAGTATGGTGTAAAGTTTAGGTGATTTTTTTGATTTATGTTCTTATTTTTGGATAGGAAATTTTTAATAAATGGTTTTTAATTAATTTTTTATTCTTTTTTGTGAATATACTTTTTAATTAGCTTTTTTGTTTAAATTCTATATTATGTTTTTTAATTTAAATTTTCCCTTGATTTTCTTTGATAAGCTTTGAATTTTGAAGAGTTTTTTGAGGAAAAAAAGCTAAAATTTTTCATCAAAGAAGGCTGGGAGTTGAAAAATGGAGTTAAAAACTCAACTGGCCAAGTTCAGTAAAGTACACAGCTTGAGCCGTGTCCAAATGCTACGGCTGTTTGTTAACCAGAAAAGCTGAAAAATTCAAAGTGGGACCGAATTTAATTATTTTAGCTCGTGTAAATTTGAAGCGTAGGCGTGGCTTTTGCATGGAACTATATGAGGAATAAATAGAAAACTTTCCCCTTCATTTGAAAAGTTTCAACCGGCTATTTTTGGTTCAAAGAAATACTTTCTAATTTGGAAAAAACTACAACACAACATCAGTTTTCCACTACTTCAAAATTAGATAATTTCTTCCCCTAAAAGTAGGCGCCATATTAGTTTTCCTGATTCAGAGTTGCAAAAGACACACTACGGATTTGGAATTCTTTATATCTCTCTTTTTCATGATCAAATCTATGGATCTTAGAATTTTTTATTCTACTCTTTTCTTAGTTTTTCTTTTCTTTTTAAGATTTTCGAGCATGCTCTCATTTTGTGTTATCAGAATCAAGGAAATCATTATGCTATTAATAGTAGTCGAGGCTGAGTTGTTTTATCTCTTAATATCTTTAATCTTTTTTTTTTTTTTTAACTTTTCATTATTCATATTGATTATGAAATTATTTTTCCCAAGTTTTAATTGAAGCTTTTTAATTTTAATGACTATGTCCGTAACTAAAACTTTCATATTAGGGAACTTCTGTTTGTTGGGCTTACTTTTTCCTATTTTTTAAAATTTATAAT